TAAAATAAATTATTTTGTAACGTTACTTACCTTGTATAGGGTATCTCTTTGGGAGAATGGTGATAGTCCCCTCTGCGAACTGCTCTCGATTGGCTACGATCCTCTCTTTAGCACCCCATCCATCACTTCCGATCCAGATAAATCGATTTTGGGGTAAGTCGCATCTCTCACAGGCGTCTAGGAGTTCACTTTTACGCAAAAAGAAATATTTATACTTTAAAAAAAGATATTTTAGCAAAGATCAATGAAAAATAGCTCTGATTAATTTTTTCCCTTATACAATTGGCAATTATTAAAAATTACCCCAATACAATTATTAAAAATTTCAGTAAAGGTAACGTAATAGAATCACACATATAATACAAACTGCATTATAAACCTTCTAGTATACGCACTCAACTGTTAATAAGCTATAATTCTAAAGCTATAAATAAATATATTCTGCTCACAGAACAGAATATTTTAATATATGATCAATGTTTTCAAGAATAACTCATAATGTTCTTAAACCGGGAGAAGGCACGTACTCGATACTAACGTTAGTGGTCGCACGGGGGGTGATGGAGTCACCTCAATCTCCTTTTTTCATGATTATTTTTATTATACACGATACAAATTTTAATTCCAATTAATAATTTAACTAAGAGAAAGTATACTTACCTACTTTGAAGGACTTTTAAATTTTTCTTTGATAATTTGAGAAAAAATCCAATCAAACTGAACTGAAAAGTTTTAAATGTGCGTGACTTAAGTAAATGAAACAAATTACAGATAGTTTTCGCTAACATTAAATGAATGATATTTGCAGGCAAAACTCTTATACTTTGTTCAAGTTATTGAAGTGTTATTGTACTTTGATGATTGGCAAATAGCATGTTGAACTATTTCTTGTGCCTGTGCCTTTTTGGCAGAGCACAGTGTGTCATATCACTGTGACTTCATAACTTTTTTGATGTAGTTTCTTAAGTAACATTTGCAAATTCTTCCTTTCGTTTCATGTTCATCGCTTTCCTCAAATTTACTTTCACTATCATGATTAATATTCATTATTTCATCAGGTTCATCCCTTGCTTGATCCAATTCTTGTTCCGAAGCTTCAACTTCATCCACTAGATATAGCAGATGCTCCATTTCTTTTCTTCTTTTTCAATTCCTACTATTAGCTCACAATCTCTATTTATTTATTTATTTATCTTGGTGGAATTTTCAATCGTTAATAAAATACTTTTTAAGGATCTCAATGGAGCTGAAATTTTATATACAGGACTATTTTGGATGACAATACAATAATATAATAATAATTAATAAAAATTAATTGATTAAAACTAATTATTTAAAGAATTACAAATACAACAACGTTGGCATCACTTTTGGCGCCTTAGAGGACCCTTTTGGCGAATTGTGTCAGAACTTGAAAAGTTTTTTTCTCACGTGTTGAAGTATTCAGTTGAACTGAAATTTATATACACGGTTGTTTTGGATGACACAATACGATAATTTAATGATAATTAATAAAATTAATAACCACTTAATGTTATGATTCTGTCTTATATATATACATATTTATATTAATTGTAACTATTTAATAAAAAGTAGCCAAAATAAAATTTTTCTTTGTTGATCTAAGTAGGAATTGACTTAAATTTTTTTTTATATTACTTGTTTTGTATTCTGTTCATTTACATTTACAAACCATATTGAGTCGTACAATTCAGCTATCAAAATCACTAAGTCATTCACAGGGGGAAAATGTAGCCTGTTCATAGAAAATATTTTGGAACACAAAAGCGGTCAAGCGGGAAACTCAGTCATCCCAAGTACCTTAAGACTGTAAGAAACGTTTGCCATTCTCAAAACAGAGGGAGATATGCGACAAATAAGTTTAAATTCCCATGAAGACAGCCATACAGGAATATAGGAGGTTACTAGCAGGGTCATTGGTGACAAATACACAGTTTTCTTAAAATTAAAGATTTTGTGAGCCTAGGGGTGACTCTGTGCACCACGCAACCGCTCCTGGGTTAACTTAATTTAAATTTGTATTTCCGAAAATACACTAATTTAATTTTTATATTAGCTTTGGTAATTTTTTTCATAAAGTATATTTATTTTAATTGGTAAGTTTAATTCTATAACTTACATTTCATTTAACTGGTTCGAATTTTCGAAAATAAATTTGGTTTAAATGTATCGCGATTTTAAATATTTACTTCCATTTTTAAATCTGTAATGTTATAGCAAAAAGAGGATTTTTCAATTTTATATGACGAAATTAAAAAAATTCCCTCTCTCCAATATCAGTATAATACTCAGACATATCATAAAAAGTATTTTAATCAAAGATGGCTTTCTATGTATTTCTCTTACTTATGGATCCTAAAATTAATTTTGAATATAAGCTAGTGTAGAGAATTTTCTTTTTTGATAGAAATGGAGAGGCGTATGAATTGGAATTAGAGCAGTTTATATGAGTAAACTGAATGATGCTTCACTTTTTATAAATATATTTTTATCGCTTTTAATTTGGAAGTTGTGTTTATTAACAGTTTTGTTTATACTTTCTTCGATTTTTTTGTCAAACAAAAATAGGGTGATATTTTTTCAGAGGAAACTGAAGAGTGCATAATATTAAATTTCAGCGAATTATTTGGTATCGAAAAAAATCTGATTCGCACTCAAAATGTATATTTAAGTAAAAGGAGATTTCCATAATGTATATTAACTAATTGAAATAAACTAAAACCAAGTTATTTATCATGCTAAAGCCCCGAAATATATTAGAACTACTTTTTCAAATTGATGTTTAAATTTTTATAAATTATATGAAAATAAAAAGTAAATCACACATTA